TCCTAAACTTGGAAAAATGGGTGCCTCAATTTTTGTCTTGAACAAAACTCAAATCCCGAGTTGACATCTGCTCTTCTCTCCATTCTCGCCAACTTGTTTCACCTTTTTTTGGATAGACTTGTGACTGGCGACGAAAAAATGGATCTTTTATCGAAATGTTAAGCATCGTAGACAGTGGCTTTGGTAAAGGGAAGGACCCCAGCCACAGCCGAGAAGGGAACTTCATGGGCAAAATGTTCTTCTTTCAATCTGGTGGGATCGCCAAGGAATAATCCACTTTGAATTCTTACCACCTAATGCAACAATTAATGCTCAAATATACTGTCAGCAATTAGAGCGTTCGAACCAAGCTTTGAGGAAAAAAAAGACCTGCTCTAGTGAATCGAAAAGAGGTGATGTTTCATCAGGACAATGCGCGACCCCACACAGCAAGAATCACGTCACAAAAGATCGAAGAACTTGGTTGGGAGAAAATTCCTCATCCACCTTATTCTCCCGATCTTGCTCCTTCAGACTACCATTTGTTTCGTAGCTTTACAGAATCATTTGGAAGAAACAGCTTTTGTAGCACAGGAAGAGGTTAAAACTGACATTTGTGAGTTCTTCGAATCAAAGCCAAAAGAATTTTACAGTAATGGAATTAGTAAGCTTGTTAATAGATGGAAGGAAGTCATAGATAATCAGGGAAAATACATTGTTGATTGAATCTGTAATTAAATGTAATATTTAGTCACTTGTTTTCTTTATTCAAAATTCGGACAGAACTTATGGGATGACCTGATATATACTGTTAATATCCAGGATTTTACCATGAGATGTAATTACGAGAGTATATAATTGTAATTATGCTATAAAACGCTCATTAAAAATGTTTGCATTCCATGGAGTTAGGAGACCTGAAAATTAATAATTCTAATGAAAAACAGTAACACCGTGGAATTTCCACGAGTACAGCTTGTTTGTATTTTTGGTGGTACATTTTGATGTATTTAATGGAGGTACATTCTGGGGGTAAACTAACCGAGTGAAATATGTACCTAATGAACTTGTGTGAATGAATGGCAGAAGAGGAACTAGGTGGGACACTAAAGGGACAGACATTGCTTAAAACTACAAAGGATGGGAAGTTGTGGAGAGCCATGATCAACCTAACGAGCTTGTGTAAATGGATGACAGGACAGGAACTGAGAGGGATAATAAAGTGAGAGACATTGCTTGGAGCTACAAAGCATAGGAAGTTGTGGAGAGCCATGATCAACCTACCTAACGAGCTTGTGTAAATGAATGGCAGTACAGGAGCTGAGAGGCATAGTAAAACGACATACATAGCTAAGAGCTACAAAGGATGGGAAGTTGTAGAGAGCCATGATCAACCAACTTAACTTCCGTAAATAGATGGTATAATAGAAACTAGGAGGGATAATAAAGGGACAGTCCTTATTTAGAGCTACAAAGGATGGGAAGTTGTGGAGAGCCACGATCAACCACCTTAACGAGCTTGTTTAAATGGATAGTAGGAAAGGAACAGAGAGGTTATAATAAAGGGACAGACATTGCTTACAGCTACAAAGGTTAGGAAGTTGTGGAGAGCCATGATCAACATACTTAACGAGTTTGTGTAAACGGGAGGGATAATAAAGTGACGGTCATTGTTTAGAGCTACAAAGGATGGGAAGTTGTGGAGTGCCATGATCAACCTACTTAACGAGCTTCTATAAATGGATGACAGGATAGAAACTGGGAGGGATAATAAAGGAACAGTCATTACTTAGAGCCACAAAGGATGGGAAGTTGTGGAGAGCCATGATCAACAAACCTAACACGCTTGTGTAAATGGATGGTAGGAAAGGAACTGAGAGGGATAGTCAATGGACAGGCATTGCTTAGAGCTACAAAGGATAGGAAATTGTGGAGAGCCATGATCAACTTACTTAACGAGTTTGTGTAAATGGGCCGCAGAAAATTAACTGGGAGGTATAATAAAAAATTTTCCTTTGTTTAATCTATAGGATGAGAAGTTGTGGAGAGCCATGATCAGCCAATCTAACGATCTTGTGTAAATGGATGGCAGCGCGGAACTGGGAGAGATTGTAAAGGGACAGTGATTCTTTAGAGCTACAAAGGATGGGAAGTTGTGGAGAGGCATGATCAATCTAACGACCTTGTGTAAATGGGTGGTAGGGGCAGGAACTGAGAGGGATAGTAAAGCGATTTTATTGGTTAGGGCTAAAAGGATGGGAAGTATATGGAGATTGGATGCTCAACCTACTGTATTTATACTTCTGTAAGTGGATAACAGGACAGGAACTAGGAGGGATAATAAAGGTGCAGTCATTGTTTAGAGCTACAAAGGATGGGAAGTTGTGGAGAGCCGTGATGGATAACCAACCTAGCGATCGTGTGTAAATGGATAGCAGGGCAGAACTGGGAGGAATAGTAAATAGGCTGACATTGCTTGGCGCTACAAAAGTTAGGAAGTTGTGGAGAGACATGATCAACC